TATTTCATATATTTTATGTATAAATATATTCATTTATTTTTCTAATATTCTCATAAATTTTGTGAACAATTGATTTATTAAATTGTTCATAAAATATAAGAGCATTCATTCTCGGAGCCTATGTCAGACTAGGACCATAAACTTCTGCCTCAAGTGCCTTTATGATACATGGAACAAAGTCTTGGAATATTACTTCAGATCTTGCTTCTTATGGTTACCATTTTATTTAGAATTTGAGTTACTTTTTACAGGAAAATAATTTATACTTCTACGTGGCAATGAAAACATCTTTATGGTAATAATAGGTCCTCCGGAATTTGTATAGCAGAAGCGTGAATAAACTGTTGTTAAAATGTCAAAGGAATATTGATGGTCGCATAACAGAACCCAAATGAAATGTTATCCAAAAAAGGTAGTAGAAAGTCAGGGGAAAGGAACGATGTGAGCTGTGACGTACGACTGACGCACGTAGACGGATGAACATTCAGAACGCGTCCGGTGACGTCACTAGGAACGAATTGTGTCGTTCTTAATGGCATCCAGACCACATAGAAAATGAAACCCAATGCCATCTAGATTCGGGTTCAATTTTCAAGTTATGTCTAATAAAATCATTCGAATCGTAATGCGAATAATATGGCATATGGTATAAATACGTGAATTCGATAGACCGTATCGATTGAAATTGCTTCATTATACTGGAATTGCGATTATATCAAAACAAATTCCTCATTAATGTCACCGGATGGTGGCAGTTTTGCCTGCGATGTGGGAGTTGATAGCAATATATATATATATTATCAATGAATAGCTCTGAAATGGGGTTTAAACGCAAATCCAAGAATAGTTTTGACTATGTAGTGAAATATACCACAAATCTTTTTTTTATATACAAATAAACCATCTCATTAATATTTACTTTTTATATGAAAATACAATCCATCTGACGGCAAGTGGATGATGTGGCCCATAGAATTTTACAATTTACACTTATCCTGGACTAAGAATCAAAATATCAATGCTTTGTTATCCCTGAGGACTAAAGTGGAATGACTGGTTTCCTGTAGGAAAGGTCTCCGATTATCTATACTCACCATACGAAGTACAGCAGGATTAAGCTGCTATTTCACGCTAATGTTCTGTGAGAGCATGGTTTTTCAACCATTTGCTGCCTTTCGTGCTACTACCATAATATAGCTGCAGTAGTACTGTATAGTAACTAAATTAAAGGATAAATTATTCCTTATTTTTCAACCGACTTTTAAAAAAATCAGGAGGTTCTCAATTCGATTTCATTTTTATGTGTGTTACCTCAGAACTTTTTTCTAGGTGAACCGATTTTCTCGACTCTCTTTTTATTTGAAAGCTTATCCTGTGGTCCCATATAAAAATCTGACCAGTAGTTTTTGAGTTGTCCTTAATAATGCGTATTTAATTGACTTCAAGAACACTGATGATATCATTTTATTTATATTGAAGTCGGTTGTACAAAATTTTTGATTTTACCGCTTCTTTTTTTATATGATTGGGTGACAAACGAGCACACAGTCCACCTGATGGTAAGTGGTTGCTGTAGTCCATAGACGTCTGTGTACATATAGGTATCCTCGATTACGTCGATTGCGTTGCGACCCGTGAGGACTAAGATGGAATGCCTCGTTTAAAGTAAAAAGGGTCTCCGGTTCTCTACACTCACCATAAGAAACACAGCAGCATTAAGCTACTATTTTACGCTGGTATTCTGTGAGAGCGTGGTCCTTCCCCGGTCGAGCCGACCCATTCGCGCTACAACTGTACTACTTATATAATTGCAGCATGGTTCTACCACCTCCACACCAAGCAACAAGAAACACTTGTAGCGTGAGCAAGACTGAAAATGTTTATAAAATTATGAATGTCACCGACGCGAGCGCAATACTCTTCTCTCTAATGTCGCCCGTACGTCTTCGTAATCTTAAAATTGTCTTTTTCGCAACGATATGGATGTACTTAAGGGTCTCTTACCCTTAAAGATTAGGAGACCCTTCTAATAAAATAGAAACAAGTGTATCCAGCACTGCTGTATTGCGGCAGAAATAGGTAAGGTGTTACATATTGAGACGGACTCCACCAACTAGTATACTATATTACAGGGTGAAATTGAAGGCATTGGTACCCATTGAGTTTAATATTCTACTGATATTAAGAAATATTTCAAAGCAAATTAAATTAGTACACAGAAAAGTAGCAACAAAAAACACTAAAATAAGCAAAGAACTAAGTCGTGGGGAACTATGGTGGGTGTTACTCGTTCATGTAATTTGTTATGAATACATGCGACCATGCGACCTTACATTTATCCACGCCTTAAACACTACCAAATTGAGGGTTCACAGTTTATTGTTTTTTTTTTTTGTATTTATTTTCAATTATTCAGTAAATTAAAAAATTACTAATATGATTTTTAAGTTCTATTTACTTGCAGTATTAAATTATAATATATATTATGATATTTAAAACATAAAATGTAAGTCATTTTAATATAAACGATCGGTTCGATACACTGTCGCTGCGAAGAGATGTTGCATGCCTTTGCATCTTCTATCCCATCTACCACGGAGAATGCTCTGGTCGCCAAATCTCAAGAACGCACATCGCGACAAAGCTCACGATATCATACACACCATTTGGATGCTTGGCGGTCAACCACTGTACGTTTTACTAGAAGTTTTCTTCCCTGTACGACCCTTCTGTGGAATCGTTTACCACCGGGGATTTTTCTGGATCGATACGACTAAGGGACCATTCAAAAAAGAGCTTACTCCTTTCTAAAAGGCCGGCAAAACACCTGCAATTTCTATAAGGAAAAAACGCAGCTAGTATCGTAATAGTAATACTACTATTAAAAGTTCAAAAACTCAATGAGGATTTTCACCCGTATTTTGTCGTTACTTGATTGGTAAACGAAAACGTTATGAAGCGGCCGAACATTTCATGTCTTGTTTGTGTAAAACTGAAATAACAAACGAGTTAACAGTTCACCTGGTGGTAAGTAGCTACAGCAGTTAAATTCACATAAAGAAGAACTTAGATGTAATGTAATCTAATAAGCCTTACAGCCTGTAATTTTACCGGATTCCTTCAGATCAGACCACAAAAGTGGACGCATTTCATGAAAGTGCAATATTTCATAAAATGATATATAGAGGTTGCTTGACGATATGGCCAAACGCATGGCCACTGCATTTGCAGTCTACGTCAAATTTACCTAACATAAAGAGATTATATCGTGTAATCACGATAATAAAATTACATTATCGGTTATTGACCATTAGGAACGCAATAGTCTCACGTAGTCCGATCGTAGAAGTGAGCAGATCGTGATCTGTCTAGGCATTTCATAATATGCCACCATAACACAATTGGCCCAGAAATTATTTATTTAAACATTGTAAAAAAAACACGAAAGCATTTTTTCTAGTAACATAATCAGCGACAGTAGTATTAAATTAAAATTTATAAACATAATTGTAAATGAAAAGACCAGAAAAAGTAACCCCTTTTTACCTGTAGCACTTTAACTGTGTGAATTAAACTGAAAAAAATGGAAATATAAAACACGGAATTTCAGATCATAATTCATTATAACAAAATTTAAATGCCAGCACAAGTTTCACAGAAGAATACATGCAGACAGAACTAAGATAGTCGGTGATGCCAACACAAATAAAATTATTGCCAACAGTAAATAATTTTCATTTAAATTTCACTCAAAAAATTGATAACAGATGTAATAGATAATGCGCGTTAGCTTTATGATCGTCAATACACGCGAATTTGCCTTTACAAGTCACGACTGAAAAGTATTATTTTAAAAAGGGTCTTATTTTTTATTTTTTTATGTATAGGAAAGGGAACAAACGAGCATGCGGCTTACCTGGTAAGTAACTACCGCCTCCCATGAACTATTGTAATACCAAAGGAATTGCAGATGCGTTGCCGGCCTTTTAAAAAATGGTAAACTCTTTTCTAGAAGGTCGGTTCGGGAAAATCTCAGGTGGTAGTTGATTCGATAAGGAAACTGTGCGAGGAGGAAAACTTCTTGTAAATCGACCAGTGGCAGATCGCCGATCATTCAGATGGAGTGAATTGTATCGCGAGTTTTGTTGTGACGTGCGTTGGTGAAAATGTGTGGCTGGAATTAGTTCGAATGATTCCTCAGAGCACTCTCCGTGGTAGATGCGATAAAATACGAAGGTGCAACATCTTTTCGCAGTGCCAGGGAGTCAAGCCGATCAGAAAGAGCTCGGTCGCTGACGATTTGAGCCATTCTGCGCTGGATGCGATCAAATGGAAGGAGCTGGCTCTGCGGAGCCCCGGCCCAGAGATGGGAACAGTATTCCATATGAGGACGAACCTGCACCATGTAAAGTTGCAGGCGGTGTTGTCGGCATGAAATTCTGTCCCGCTCTGCTGAGCACGCCAAGCTTTTTATAGGTCAATTTAGCTTTCACCTCCAACTGACCTCAAAACTGCACGTCTCTCGGTATTCCAATACTGGCTGAGGAAAGATCTAATAAACATTAATTATAATGATTTATTTTAATAAACGCAAATACTATACTTAGGGAAAAATCTAATTGCACGGATTTTATCGCGGTTATTCCAAAAAGTCGAGAAGTAGGTACATAATAACTATTATTAATCCCTGCACACCAATACCTAACCAGCACTTACAATCACTCGAGGCACACGATCCGCGCTAACAATTATTCATTTGTTATGGTACCTACGTATCTTGGGAGGTTTGCTAACGTGCCAGCTAGCTTAGTACGACAAAGTTTAAATTTCGGTATAATCCGATAAGAGATCAAAACTGCTTACATTTTTAGTACCTAATATTGACAAATTTTGAAAGATTTTTTTTTTCAATTAGATGCTTGGATTTGGTTGGAGCAATGTAGTGGAAAATATTTTGTTCCATAACTCCTTTACGAATGAAAGTTCTTGTGTTAACATGTATGAAGGCTGATACGTTAGTTTTTATTTATAGGTACTTATATTTTCTGTTTCAATATGTACACTACAAATCTCTACCACTGCTGATCTACATTAAAGGAATAGCACGGAAACAGTTTTCTTATGAGATATCTTGTGTCATCCATCGCCTTTGTTTAAAATGCAGTTAGAATTAAAACTGCGGTAACTCAATCAGGATTGAGGTAGACATCCCAACATTCCGATGTCAGTTTGACGTAGTGTGACGTAAAAAGGGACGGCGCAGACGGAATTCAAATTAAAATCAACTTTACCGATTTCGAATTTTAATAGCTGGAACACAATACTAATGGTGTTATTGCATACTTAGGGCTGATTTTCAATCGTCAGTTAAATATTATCTATCAATTGTAAAATAAATTATATCCTGACAGATACATTCTGCCAAAAGTCAAAGAATTAAATTAATTTATTAATACAACTGTATTTTATAATTTGTGAATGTTGTATTTTATTATATGGAAAAATTAAAAAATTGACCCTTAGAAAAACTTATTAGTGTTTTTCTATATTGATATATTATATCCATCTCATGAGTAATATGCTAGGGTGCATTTGCTTTTAGTTTTATAGTTCGCGTACATTTAATGCATAATACTTGCAACTTAGTAATTTACATTTACAATTTTAAGTGCTAAATCAGCACGTGCTCTGTGGTGAAGGGAAACCTGCAAGCTGAGTTCCATATTTTTTGTAAATTATAAAATGCAACAAATTACACTTACTATAAAATGAAGTAATAAAAACTTGTGCAAGATAGTACAACCAAGTTTTCTATAACAAAAGACTGACAAACAAGCACACAATCAAATTGGAAGTGAATGATGTGGTCAATATTCTCAATTAAGGACTAAAATGTACACCCTTTATCTATCCTCAATTAAGAACTAAAATGCGACCATAATACGCTTCACCGTAGCTACCGCTATACTGGATGACTACATTTTTTACCGTCTGGAAAAAAATAGATATGTGAACGGAGTAGAAGAAGCCTTACGGCACTGATATTTTACAAAAAATAGAAACAAAAATTTTGAATTAAATAAATGAATTAATTAAAATATATCGAAATTCAAATCATATCCACCATTCTTTACGAACGGCAATACAATAATATATTTAGTGGGCATATTTTTTGACCTTGTCACTTCACATGGTCACAGCGTATATATATATATATATATATATATATATATATGATTTGAATTTCTATAGATTTTTATTTATTTATTTATTAAATTCGAATATTTTGTTTTTATTTTTTGTAAAATATCAGTGCCACATAGGCTTCTAATTTGTTCACATGTTACACCCTATTTTTTCCAAGACGGTAAAACTGTACGGTAGCTGCAACGCAAATGGGTCTGTCTATTCGACCGGGTAAGGAAGGACCAACACTCGCACAGAATGCCTGCCTAACCTGTCTCTTACAACGGAAAAAGTACAACGAATATTGTGGACTTGCCACATAGGTAGAGCCACATAGGTGTAACTATGTTCGAAACCAATTTTTTTAACTTTAGGCTTGTACAAAATCATCATCATCATCGTCATCATTACAGCCTATCAAATTCTACTGCTGTATGCACTGTGCACACACACAGTGCAGGTTTTGTATTACTTTAATTCATTCTTCGGAAGATGCTGCTCCCCCCTCATATATATTCGTTGTAATTTCTTATGCCGCTAATACACAGAGGTGATACAGAATAGTCAATGTTATTAAAATACAGTACAAAGGACCTTGTTCACGTGCATTCATTCTAAATAATTTAGCTGTAAATACGATATAATTATAAATTACATGTAGGTACGCGTTTGGAACGATTATCCAATATTTTGATCCGTGTGTAATCATATCAGCCTTTTACTTACTTTTGCTTATCGGTAAGAAGATGCCAATCGAAAAGCTTTCTTCCCCATCGGTTTTCGATTCTTCAAGCTATATCGCCAATCCATTGCCACTTTAGCCTACTGATGCTCATGATTTGTCAGTTACTCTTAATTTACTGTTAAAATAGCCCTCTACATCACTTGCCTACTTAGTTTAAGCTTTTATATACGGTATTCATAAAAGTTATTTATGAGGCTATATATGGTAATTTTTACGAAAACATATGTAGATATTTACGTGTATGTTAGAAGGGTGTAATAAAAAAGCAAGTGAGTGATCATCAATCGCATACTTACTAAAAGGCTCATTGCACACCAGATTACATGAATTCAATGCTGTGCCACCTGCTTTACATTCACTAGCATTCACTGAAACACATTTCCTATACGACCCTGTACGATATATTTTGATTACATAAAATTAACTTAAGAATAGCGCCATCTGTGCCACTACGCCACAAACCGCTTAACGCGATCGATTCGAAACAACTGTAAGAAGTACGGCTTTTTAAATTAAAGTTATACCATCACTTGCGGTCGTTGTTATTTGGTATAATGCAACTAGGTGGCGCTGTTTAAGGAAAAAATATGACTCAAGTTTTGTTGGTAAAATTGATTTTCCCGTAGACAAAGAATTACTGTCTACGGGTTTTTCTCACCTACAAACTATACTTATACATTGTTAAGAACAACTATTTATATAACATTACAGATCATTACAAGGAATGTAAAAAAACGTCAAAAAAACAGTTTACATAGTATAAATTTATAATAATATAGTATAGACAAAAGAGCAAATTAAATACAATTCTGTTCATCGGATAAACAATGGAATGAAGGAGATAATCTGAAATCTTGATTTATTAATACTAATAATGTTACAATATATAGAACAGTAACAGAATAATATGATCATGTATTATGTATGTAATTAAGTATAATAACATCTTCCTAAGACTTATTTAAGTATGGATAAAAGGTGACAAACGAACACACCTGACGATAAGTGGATGCTGTGGCCCATAAACATCTACATCTATCCTCGATTAAGAATCAACATAGAAATGCGTTGTCACCTCTAAGGACTAAGATGGAATGTCTCGTTTCCGCTAATGGTCCGCTACACTTACCATAATAAACACAACAGCAATAAGCTTTTACACTGGTATCCTGCGGGACCGTGTTCCATCCTCGATTGAGCCGACACATTCGTGCTTCAACCTAATATAGCCACATCGTGGCTCTACTACGTACAAAAAGACTATCATTGTTTATATCATGTTTGATTTTTATCGCAAGCAGACAGTTCACCCAATATCAATATAAAGCAATGTAAAATACCTTGCTATATTAATAATTATTATGCCGGCAACGGATGTTATCATTTGTAAATTCAGTAAGAATTAACAAATTTATGGATGATATTACTCTAAAGAGTAAAGCTAGAGTGAAAAGAAATACATAAATATTCTTGTCAGAAAAGTTAGAGAACATATAAAAAATGACATACCTTTTTAAATAATTTGCTGCCGTCTGCCATAATAGGCATGTAGAAATCCACAATCCCCAGCAGGCAATCGTCACACCGGCACACGTCGCTGGGGAGCGACGACATCGATCCAAAGCTGCTGCAGCTGTCCAGGGAATCAGTTCGGACCAGCTTGTTCGTGCTCAAAGCTTCCATCTTCGCGACCAGCAGCGACTCCATCAAAGAACGCGGTCGTGCGGGTGATCGGGACCTCCGAGGAAAGTCCGGTGATAGAGTCCGCTCCATCAGATCAGGCGATAGGGGGCGATGTCGCGAAAAGTCCAGCGACAGATCCGGAGATAGCGCCCGAAGTCGCGGAAGATCGGGCGACATCGGACACGATTGTGCTAGATCCGTCGACGACGTTCGCGACAATGGAGGTGTTACGCTTCTGCAGTGGGACGACGTCATCTTCGTCGCCCGCATTTGTAACGTTCTAAAACCCAGCCCGCATTAATAACGCACTATTCACCCACACTTGTCTCACATCAGGATTGTCACCGATAGTCAATTTGCAATTTTATTGGACTTGCAACATATTATCGAGTTTAATTGAACTTTTAAAGGCAGCTTTTAATAGGTCATGGTATTCGTTTTATTGAATGTTTCACACTATCAACTGTAACAATCTTTACGATTCTGTTTACATTAAGTGTATACGATACATGCTATATAATTTGCAATATGTTGTGTTCCTTATATATGAGATTAAAGCGATATATTAAGTTAATCCCGTGTTGGTGATAAGTGTAATACAGGCTAATAAGAATTACTGAATAATAAATTGAACGTTATAAAAATGAAAGGGAATAGTGACATGTTACCTATTTTTAGGAGATTTAACCATCATGATTCCTCAAATTTACGCCAACACTACCCACACATTGAATAAAACTATTTTTACGGATTTTATCGCTTTTAATTTTATTTATTTTTAAATCCTGACGTTTCGGCGTTCCGCGTAAATCTGTCCAAAATTAATAATTGAAAATATGAAAGTACTCCACGTTTACTCTGACTTCGGTCAAACACCTCAGTAACCACGCCCGAAAAGTCAGGAATTAAGAAATAAGTAAATTAAACGCTGTAAAAGCTGTAAAAATAGTTTTATTTAAAGATTTTTAACATCGTTACCAAACATAACAGGCTATTAATTATTCTGTCCACGTCAGAAACGCAACGTAACGTAACGTAACGTAACGTAACCTTCTCGTCGATTTGTAAAAATTCACCTGCAAAAACATTAAATATAACGAAAAACTTGGACTGTACAAGAGACCCTTACACTACAAGAGACAATAAATAATGAATGTTATTGCTTCCGGTGAGAAAAAATCGAGTTCTTAATTAAATTTATTAGTTATTAGCAGTGCTATGAAGCCGTTCCTCGATTGGTCGGTAGGTACAACAGATATTTTTATAGCATAGGGTGACAAACGAACACACGGTCCACCTGATGGTAAGTGCACTGCATCCTCTTGCCATCGATTGTGCTCGTTTACCACCCTTATTCGATATTTAAAAAATCGAGTACTTAGCGTAAAAATATGATCGATACAATTAATTTGATGAAACCTATGGTAATTATCTATTTTTATTATATTTATTTACATTAAAATAACATTTAAAATATTCAATATTTATTATTTTGTAAGTAGAGGAAAGTTCTCTTTTTTGTATAGAATTCGCATGAAAATATTATTCATTCGAGATCATTTCTGATTATAAAGACGGAACCCAAACAAATAACCAGGTTAAATATTACAAGATCTATTAGCTGTCAGTAGCAAACTGCGTTCATGCAAATGTTGAATTCTGATTTCCTCCGAGGTCTTTTTGCATAACAAGCGACCATTTATCAACATCTGTGATTGACAACAACGAATGTACGTGAATATGGAGCACCTGGCGTAATTTAACAGGACAGGCGTGCGTCGAAGTGGGCCTCTGCGCTTACAAGATCATATCCATGCATAATTTATTCATTCATTTCATTAATTTATATAAATATTATTTATTTTCTAAAATTTTTTGAAATAAAATTCAGATATTTTTTCGGACGGAAGTAACATTCAGTAAAATCTAAATTCTACAGTCCGTGTACACAGTTCCTGCATTTATACTCGTAAAAGCAGTAACTGACTATGTTAATTCATGAGTATATTTAAGTGCTGATTTACCACATGCTCGGCGGTGAAAGAAACATCGTGGGAATAAGAAAAAAAATATTTCGAAGACATGTGAAGTTCGCCAACATGCATTGGGGCAGCGCGACGGACACTTCCTTGCCCTAAAACCCTCTCAGAAATGAGGGGAGGCCTGTGCCCATTAGTGCGACGTATATAGGCTGTAACTTTACTTTAGATACTTTTACTTTTTATTATAGCTAATATTTAACTAGCTATATATAACTATTCTATTTTTATATAGTTCCAAACTACATAACATTGTTACATTGTTAATAGATAGTAAAAATATGAATATTTTAATATTGAGGAGCCGTAGTATATAAGCGCTCAATGTAAACGATGTTTCATGGGCAGCAGGGCAGCGCGGCGGACATTTCTTTACCCCAAAACCCTCTCACAATTGAGGGGTCTGTGACCACTTTAATTTTTTAAACTTTTAAAATTAAAAAAAAACTTTTTAAATTATTTACTCCACATATTTAACATTTATTATCGCAGTATTTTTTTTTTGTTTTACCTCTAGCGAGGTTCTAGCGTAAAAAGCACAGTAAAAAACATCATCATCATATGATCCTTTGCCTAACAAAGCTTTAAACATTATTGAGACAGGTCCCGTATTTTGCACTAGTGATAAACGCTCGCTAAATGTAGATATTAGCACAAGAACAAAGAACAAACTTTAGTCCGTACTCCGTTCGCACCACAGAAATTGCTAATTGCTATGACATAGTTACTGTATATAAACTGACAAAGTGCTCGGTATTGAAGTAAAACTTTGTATGGAATTTTTGGATTGTGAATAATAGAATATAATAGACTTATTTTTATTCAATAATGTCCTCCAGATCGAATTTCTGTTACGGAGGCCCGTCTCAACGGAGACTAGCCATCGGCGCAAGACAGCAATAAAGTGTATGCGCAAGCACAGGTACACTCTCTATTGCCTCACTCTTATAATCCGATGGGACGGTAAACCGATACGACCGGAGAGAGATCAGGCGGAGGACCAACGGTTTTATGTGCTTTTCGAAGCCCGGAGGTGAGACAGCGCCAACTTCAGGGGGCAAATGAGCATGCGGCTCACCTGATGTTAAGTGACTACCGCCGCCCATAATCAACCGCAACACCAATTGCAGGTGCGTTGCCGGCCCTTTAGAAAGGAGTAAGCTCTTTTCTTGAAGGTCCTCAGGTCGTATCGGTTCGGAAAAATCGCCGGTGGTAAACTATTCCACAGAGAGGTCGTACGTGGAAGAAAACTCCTTTTGAAACGTACAGTGGTGGACCGCCAAGCATCCAGATGATGTGGATGGTATCGGGACCTCATGATCAACAGTCGCACTACTACAACCACTAGACCAACGGTTCATCAGGCGGAGGACCAACGGTTTTATGTGCTTTTCGAAGCCCGGAGGTGAGACAGCGCCAACTTCCTGACTCCGGGCAGCTACTGAGTGTTTCTTGACGGAAAAAGTCAATAAATTATTTTTTGGCTCGACCCAGGAATCGAACCCAGGAGCTCATGATCAACAGTCGCACTACTACAACCACTAGACCAACGAAGCAGTCATTAATTCAATATAGATTACAAGAAGAGACGTGGTAGCTCAGATGGTTAGTGCTCACTGTAAATATAACAATACGCGAGCAAACCGGGTTCGATTACCGCCGGCGCCAATGAAATTGTTAATTGCAATTTTAAACGCTGATTCACCACGTGCTCGGAGGTGAAAGAAAACATCATGAGAAAACCTGTATGTCTGAGAAATAAGAAAAAATAACTATGTCGGAGACATGTAAAGTTCGCCAACACGCATTGGGGTACCGCGGCCGTACACTTGCTTTCCTTAAATCCTCTCAGTCATATGGGGATGCACACCACTAGGACGTACAAAGGTTTTAACTTTAACTTTTTTTTATAGATTACAAGAATATTTCTAGAAAGTTAAATATGCTTATACCACTGGTTCGGAAAAAGACCTATGTCCTGGGAAGAACCAGCAAGAAACCCAGCGGGACTCTTTTTTAAACATTAGTTTACAGTATAATATGATATGTATAATATGTTGAGATGCGCCGATAGATATCGCAATGCAGCAAGCTTTTTTATAGAAGTAAGGGTGATTTATTTCTATACAAGTAGGCATCTGTCATCGATCTTGTTATCTGGACACTGTGGCCAGTGAAGAGTTACATCTATTATCGAAAAATCAAAATGCAGAAGATACCTTATCGCCCCTGAGGACTAAGATGGAATGTCTCATTACTAATAAAAAGAGTCTTCTTCTCGTAAAAACTTATGAACGTCAAAAAAACTCTCTTCGGGGTCTTTTTTAAAACGCTATGTTACAATTTGTAAATTTGACCCGCCATTTTACTACTATATTAAATCGCTCCTATATCACCATCACCGTCATGAGTCCACTGCTGAATACAGGCTTCCCCCAAGGAACGCCACAAAGAACGGCCCTGAGCCATCTTAATCTATCCACTTCCTGCATGTCTTATCAAGTCGTCACTTCATCTAATGTGAGGGCGCCCCAAACTTTGTCTAACAATACGAGGCTGCCACTCACAAACCTTTCTTTACCATAGTTGCCGGTTCTTCGAGCTATATGGCCGGCCCATTACCACTTCAGCTTACTGATCCGAGAACGCTTCCATAATAATATACATATGCCTAAGATATAATCATTTGGGGCGCAACGTGAAATTGAAATGATTGAAAATGAGGTTTAATCATACACATTATTAACAATCATGTAAAGAACTCTCTTTATCTTCTTCTTCTCCGCCTGTGAAGCACACCTCCTGGACATGGATCTCTTTAGTCAGAGAGAAGATTTAATCGCCACGCTTCTCAAACGGATTGGCGTTCGCAGTACCGAATGTATCGCAGTATGCATCGATCACTTTTATTATTAGTGATCGATGGCGGTATGGGTACTTTACATCTGGTGTTAACGAAGTGGTCGTGGCATTGTCTATCGGAAACCGTGAGATACTATGGGCGTTGCTCATGTCTTCTCTCACGACAGGATGGTAGGAATTAAGGTTATGGATCTAAAACTGCTACCACACTGCACTTCCGAAAACTAGGTTTTACTAATAAAAGATTTCTATAGTCTTATATTTATTATGAGGACCGTTGTAAATGATACTGTACTCAATGTATGTTTTTAAAAATATTAAAAGAATTTAATTCAAAATATTTATCTAATTCCGTCCATTGAGTAAAACTAATTTTAAGGAATTATTTGACTTATTTTAT